ATATTGGTCTGTAATTTTCTGTTTTTGTGGTGTCTTTGTCTGGTTTTGGTATTAGAGTGATGCTGGCCTCACAGAATGAGTTTGGAAGTACTCCCTCCTCTTCTGTTTTCTGCAAAACTTTAAGGAGAATGTGCATTAGGTCTTCTCTAAATGTTTGAAAATTCAGCAGTGAAGCCATCTGGTCCAGGAGTTTTGTTCTTAGGTAGTTTTTTTTATCACCAAGTCAATTTCATTGCTGGTAATTGGTCTGTTCAGATTTTCTGTTTCTTCCTGAGTCAGCCTTGAAAGATTGACTTTTTCTAGAAAGATGTCCATATCTTCTAGGTTATCCAATTTGTTAGCATATAATTTTTCATAATATTCTCTAATAATTCTTTGTATTTCTGTGGTGTCCATAGTGATTTTTCCTTTCTCATTTCTGATTCTGTTTATGTGTATACTTTCTTTTTTTCTTGATAAGCCTGGCTAGGGGTTTATCTGTTTTGTTTATTTTCTCAAAGAACCAGCTCCAGGTTTCATTGGTTCTTTTTATTAGTCTCAATTTTATTTATTTCTCATCTAATCTTTATCACATCCCTCCTTCTACTGACTTTGGGCCTCATAAGTTCTTCTTTTTCTAGTTTCATTAATCATGAGTTTAGACTGTTCATTTGGGATTGTTCTTCTTTCTTGAGGTAAGCCTGTATTGCTATATACTTTCCTCTTAGAACTGGCTTCACTGCATCCCACAGATTTTTGCATTGTTGAGTTGTTTCATTTGTCTAATATTTTGCTTGCTTTCTGTTTTTATATGACCACTGATCCATTAATTAGGAGTATGTTGTTAAGCCTCCATGTATTTGTGGGCTTTTTTGTTTTCTTTGCATAATTTCTATTTTCACCTTTGTGTTCTGAGAAGTTGGTTGATACAATTTCAGTCCTTCTGAATTTACTGAGGCTCTTTTTGTGGCCTAGTATGTGATCTATTCTGGAAAATGTTCCATGTGCACCTGAGAAGAATGTGCATTCTGCTGTTTTTGGGTGTAGAGTTCTGTAGATAGATGTCTGTTAGGTCCATCTGTTCTAATGAGTTGCTCAGTGCCTCTGACTCCTTACTTATTTTCTGTCTGGTTGATCTGTCCTTTGGACTGAGTGGTGTGTTGAAGTCTCCCAAAATGAATGCATTGCATTCTATTTCCCCCTTTAATTCTGTTAGTATTTGTTTCACATATATAGGTGCTCCTATGTTGGGTGCATAGATATTTATAATGGTTATATCCTCTTGTTGGACTGACCCCTTTATCACTGTGTAATGTCCTTCTTTGTCTCTTGTGACTTTCTTTGTTTTGAAGTCTGTTTTGTCTGATACATGTACTGCAACTCCTGCTTTTTTCTCCCTGTTATTTGCATGAAATATCTTTTTCCATCCCTTCACTTTTAGTCTGTGTGTGTCTTTGGGTTTGAAGTAAGTCTCTTGTAAGCGCATATAGATGGGTCTTTGTTTTCCTTATCCATTCTGTAACTATGTCTTTTGATTGGTGCATTCAATCCATTTATATTTAGGGTGATTATCAATAGATATGTACTTATTGCCATTGCAGCCTTTAGATTTGTGTTTATCAAAAGTTCAGGGGCAGCTTTTTTATTATCTAACAGTCTTACTTAACTCACTTAATTGTGCTATTTCAAACATAGTCTAAAGGTTCTTTTTTTTTTCTTCCCTTCTTTTTCTTCCTCCTCCCCTCTTCATATATTAGGGTATCATATTCTATACTCTTTGTGTATCCCTTGACTGACTTTGTGGGTAGTTGATTTAATTTTGTATTTGCTTAGTAATTAATTTGTCTCTGTCATTTACTGTGGTTCTGTTTTCTCTGGTGACAGCTATTTAGCCTTAGGTGCACTTCCCATAAATAGCAGTTCCTCCAAAATACACTGTAGAGATGGTTTGTGGGAGGTCAATTCCCTCAACTTTTGTTCATCTGGAAATTAATTCCTTCTTCAAATTTAAATGATAATCTTGGCTGGTAGAGTATTCTTCATTGGAGGCCCTTCTGCTTCATTGTATCATGCCATTCCCTTCTGGCCTGTAAGGCTTCTGCTGGAAAGTATGATGATAGTCTGATGGGTTTTCCTTTGTATGTGATCTGTTTTGTCTCTCTGGCTGGTTTTAAAACTCTGTCCTTGTCCTTGATCTTTGCCATTTTAGTTATTATATGTCTTGGTGTTGTCTTCGTTGGGTCCCCTGTGTTGGGAGATCTGTGCACCTCCATAGCCTGAGAGAGAATTTCCTTCCCCAGATTGGGAAGTTTTCAGCAATTATTTCCTCAAAGACACTTTCTATCCCCCTCTCTCTCTTCTTCATCTGGTACCCCTGTAATAAGAATATTGTTCTGTTTGGATTGGTCGCACAGTTCTCTTAATATTCTTTCATTCCTAGAGATCCTTTTTTTTCTCTATGCCTCAGCTTCTTTGTTTTCCTGTTCTCTAATTTCTATTTCATTTACTGTCACCTCCACCTCATCTGCTTTTAAATCCCTCCATTTTATGTTTCATTTCAGACACTGTATTTTTCAAAGTTTCTGTATCTTTCTTGATGTCCTCCCTGAGATCTGGAATAGTTTTGTAGCTACATGAGCATGTTTATGATTTTTATTTTGAAATCTTTATCAGGAAGATTGGTGATTTCAGTTTCATTTAGCCCTCTTTCTCGTGTTTGAGAGATTTTGGTTTGTACCAGATTCTTTTGCTGTTTCGTATTTCTCTTGATTCCTATGGAATAATAATTTTGCGTAGGTGGTAACCTCTAGTGCCCAGAAGCCCTACTCTCTGGAGGTGCCCCACCCCTGGAGCAATGGTGAGAGTTGCAGGTGAGTGGCACCAATGCCTGTTGGGATGAAAGAGGTCTTTCTTGCTTCCCAGCTGCAGTGCCTGCCTCCACTGCCAGGGCTAGTGGGCCAAGCATGCAGGGAGGAGTCTCTGTGTTATGCCCTTGCCATATGCAGGGCCACCCTCTGGCTGGCCTGGCATAATGGCAGGGGCAGCAGGTTTGCGAACCTGTGCTGGATGGGAGGAAGGAGCAGCAGGCTGCGTATTGCAGTGGGGCACCTCAGTGCTGTGTCGCCAGGGAGGAGGATGAATCACCTTAAGCTCCTGAACATTCCCAACCTGCTGGGCAATATAGGCCAGGACAATTTTGTCCACCTGTCCTTTCTCCTGAGAAGCAAGCTCTGTGTAACCCTTTCCCCTTTCACACCCTTCTTGCTATTGGGAAGTCTTTCAAAGTGCCCTCCTTTTGTCCTGGAGCAGCTGGTTGTGGGCACCTGTTCTCCACAGCAGCTGGAATCTCAGTTTCTCCGAGTATTCCACCTGGCTTTGCTTTCCAACCCTGCTAATCTCCAGAGCACCATGTAATGTGGGTTCGTGCTCCTGGAGCAGATCTCCAGGTATGGGTGTTCAGTAGTCCTGGGCTTCTACTCCCTCCCTGCTCTGTTTTTCTTCCTCCAGCCTGTGAGCTAGGGTATGGGGAAGGGCTTGGGTCCCACCAGACTAGGGCTTTGCTACTTTAACACTTTTCCATGAGGTCTTCTATTTTCCCCAGATGTAGGCAGTCTGTTGCAGTCGTCTTTCCGGTTGTTTTTTCAAGATTAGTTGTATTTTTGTGATATATGTGGTTTTGGGAGGAGGTTTCAGCCTTACTTCTCATGCCGCCATCTTTTCTTCCAGGATATAGTCTTGAAATACAGTTGCTTACTAAAGAAACCAGAGCCCTTGAAAAAATGGCTGCTCCCAGGCCGGAGGCAGTAAGTGTACCAGATGAGCCTGGACATCTTGTACCAGATAGAAAAGACATGTGTTGACGTGCTAGAGTTATAGCAAAGGAGCCAACTTGAACAGGCTCCTGCCACATATGGGCAGTTTGAGTGTCAAAAATGAGAATTCTTGCAGTAAACTGAAATCCAGCAAATATGCTTTAATCCATGAGTTCATGATATTTAAGACATAATCAGTCATCTTTGGAGAATGACAGGGAACCAGTCAGAAAGAGTCAAGCATTTCTCCTGCCTTTTCTATATGGTCCTTACCCCCAGGGAAACAAATATTAGTGAGGAAAATTATCCCTGACTAGAGTATTCTGTGTAATAAATGAAAGAAATGAATAAAATCACAGTATCACCATTTTGTAATGCCCAGTAAGTTAAGAGGCATAAGTTATTGACAAGTGGTAGTAACGTAAAGAGAGAATCTAACATAAGCCTCCTGATGAGAGAGTCTACCCCTACCTGTGGTCTTGGCAAAGGGAACAAACCTGAGTCTGATTCAGTCTTGGATCCAGCTGGCAACTTTCAGGAATTCAGGGGAACAAGTTGAACTGAGTATGCAACAGCACAGCCAGCCTGAGACTAAGGTCAGATGACTGGTTCTTCAAAGGAAAAATTGTAAGGCAAAATACATATATATATATATATATCAGAAAAAATCTGTAACTTAGGAAATGTACAAATCATAAAAAAAGTTTAAATGGCAAGACTGAACTATAGCATCCAGGGATGCACATTTGGGTGACAAAACTTTAAGAAGAAAGGAAGAGACTGATAGGATAGTGTTTACTTACAAGGGAAGAAGGGCTGTGACTCAGCTAGGGCATGGCCGAGCTTCCTGGGTAAATGGCAGTTTCTTTTCTTGAGTTGGTGGTGGTTACAAGAGAGGTTTAGAGTAAATCATTAAGCCTTATAGTTAGTGACTCTGTGCCCTCCCTTCATATGTTTGAAAAATGTTCTGTTTTTTATAATTTCTGAGTCCCTAGTTCCTACTTTAAATGCATATTGCTGAAAAATACACACAGTTAGGACTCGTTAAGGAGAATTATGGGTGACTAATCCTTAGTTCACTGAACAGCTGTCCTACATGATCCAGCCCTGAGAACTGGACAGGACATGAAAGGCAGCCTCAGGTCTGCAGAGGCAGTGTTCTAGGATGAGGCAAAAGGGCAAAGCCTCCACTTGCTGCCCTCTTTACAGATTGGCTGCAATGCCGTCAGCTGGGCCCCTGCCGTTGTGCCTGGAAGCCTCATAGACCAGCCATCGGGGCAGAAGCCCAACTACATCAAGAAGTTTGCGTCAGGCGGCTGTGACAACCTCATCAAGCTGTGGAAGTAAGTGGGGTTGGTGGACTCCTCAGGGGGGCACTTCTTACCTTCTGCCCTACCTATGGCTCAGCCACAGTTCACAAGAAACAGGATCACCTTTCTCTTTCCCTCCTGTCCATACATTACTGTTTAATCTGTCAGAAGGACATCCTTTAAAAAAAAAGCCCTTTGCTCAAGTGTTTTTACTCTTCACCTGATTCCCATCTGCTGCTAGTTGGCTTTGGAAGAATAAAGCATTTCTTTTTAGCTGGTGAGCTGAAAATCCCACTCAATGTGAAATTAGCAGGAATAGCTTCTTGGCCCCTGTGGAGGTGTGGGACAGTCACTTGATCTTCCACCTGCCAGATTCTCCTTCTGATGTCCCCTGTTAGGGAAGAGGAAGATGGCCAGTGGAAAGAGGAGCAGAAGCTGGAAGCACACAGCGACTGGGTTCGGGATGTGGCCTGGGCCCCCTCCATCGGCCTGCCCACCAGCACTATCGCCAGCTGCTCACAGGTCAGCTCAGACCCGAGAGCACCCCATGTTATTTGATCTCAGAGTAAGTCTCAGTAGCCCTTCCAGTCCACCTGAGGGAAAACCCTTTAAAGGTAAGGGCAGAACAGCAGGCGCCTTTGGACAGTACTGGTGGGGGAGCATGTAGAGGTGTGTCATCCTGAAGTGTGGCTTTGGTCAGGAGCCAAGAAGAGGGCCAAATTGAGGACTAGGGGATGGAGGTGCCCAGGTACAGTTCTGAGGTTGCTCCCAAGCAAGGACCAAGGGCAGTGAAAAATTCTAAGACTTTGGACTCATCTGTCTGCCCACTCTTCCCACACAGGTCACAAAAGTAAGATCAAGGACAAGCCTTTAATTATATGCCACCACCACTCTAGAAATGAGTTAAGCCAGGCTTTATACATCATTTGAGCCATTTGATTTGGTCCTAAATTTGAGAGGGACTTTTTTTTCTAACTTGTCCCTTCCCATTCTCTGAGTTTGGTTTTTAGACAGGCATACCCTCAGATGAAAAAATACAGAGCCGAAGGGGGCCCAAACAAGGAAGCAACTTAGCAGACATGGAAAAAAACCCAGGGAGAACTTAAGCATTGACCATTGAGACAAAGTCTGTACCTGAAACCAATATGAGGAAAGAAATCTGGGAGACTCTCTTGACCAATTTGAAGTGTTTCTGGGGCAAAGGGATAAAGCACATATGCTGGGCTAAAAATTGATCATCAAAGCTATGGAGACCTCAGAGGTCCATGGCTCTGCTTTGCACTAAATTCCCCACTCTATTCCTGTAAAGGTCCAGTATGGCTCCAGATTCAAGGATATCACCTATGCGGATCCCTGCCCCATCTCCTGACTCTAGCCTGTCTTTTCCCAGGATGGTCGTGTCTTTATCTGGACCTGTGATGATGCCTCAGGCAATACGTGGTGCCCTAAACTGCTGCACAAATTCAATGATGTTGTGTGGCATGTGAGCTGGTCTATCACAGCCAATATCCTGGCTGTCTCGGGCGGTGACAATAAGGTACACCCCATTTTCATGACATAGCAGACAGAGCACTGTTTGTATTTACTTTGCCCACTAGAGAGCATAGTTAAGTGTTTCACCTTGGAAGGTGAATCTTGGAAAAGCTCAGGCTTGGAAGGAATCTTCGTGAGAACAGCATGTTGAGCATGATTCTTAATTAGTAAATCTTATGACCCCTGCCTGACCAGAGATAGTCTGCCTTCCTTTTACAAATACTAAAGAAATTAGTAGAAGTGATTTGTTGCATAGGGATCACAAAGTTATCAGGTGGCAGAGCCAATAATCAGGCCTGAGTTAAATCCAAAGCCACTGTCCTAGCTGTGCATTCCCCCTAACCCTTTGACCATTTCACCTTGTAGTGACATGCAGTCACCACTGTCCCAAAATTAGAGAGATTTAAAAAAGAACTCAAAAGAGAATATCAAAGGGTTTTTGTCCACAACACTTAATTTTTAAATTTTTCATTTTTAAATGACTTTTTAAATAAAGTCACATTTTTTAATTAAAAAGGAGGCATATTTTAAAAATTCAGTACAGTTCATGAGTACTTATTATACACCCACTGTATACCTATTTCTGCTGTGCTATAAGCCTTACAAAGGGAGAGATATAAAGCCAAAGTAGCCACTGGAAAGCTTGGGTGTACAGAAATGCCAGCGCAGGGCAGGACAGCAGCAGAGCAAATGTCTTTGAAAAATCAACATGACCCCTGCCTTTTGATGGCAGACGGCATCTTGGTACATGGCCATGGCTCATTCTCCCTTTCTGTAGGCAGCTTTTTTCCCCCAGTGGTGGCAAAATACATATAAAATTCACCATCTTTTTTTAAACTGATGTACATAAAATACACAAATCTTAGTGTACACCTTGACGAATTTAAACGTGTGTATACTCATGTGACCATTGCCCTGATCAAGATACCACACTTTCTCACTAATTTTTTTTCCTATCACCTATTTCACCCATCCCTCCACCCCTCTTCCCTATGGGAACCATCAGTGTGTTCAGTTTATGGATTTATTTGTTTTGTTTCTTTGTATAAGTGAAATCATACAGTATTCATATTTCTCTGACTTTTTTCACTTAGCATAATACCCTCTAGGCCCATCCATGTCAAAAATGGCAAGATTTAATTCTTTTTTATGACTAAGTAATATTCCATTGTGTATAATATATATATCACTCTTTTACCATTCATCTATTGATGGACATTTAGGTTGTTTCTATATTTTGGCTATTACAGATAATATCACAATAAATGTAAGAGTGCATATGTCTTTTCATACTGATTTTGTTCTCTTTGGGTAAATTACCAGGTATAGAATTGCCAGGTCACATGGTATTTCTGTTTTTAGTTTTGTGAGGAACCTCCATAGTTTTCCACAGTGGCTAGACCTATTTACATTCCAACCAATAGTATAGGAGGGTTCCATTTTCTCCATATTCTCACCAATACTTATTTCTTTGGAGAGTGGCAATTCTGACTCGTGAGAGGTAATGTCTCATTGTGATTCTGATTTGCATTTTTCTGCTGGTTAATGATGTTGAACATATTTTTATGTGCCTGTTGGACATGTGTTTGTCTTTGGAAAAATATCTATTCAGGTATTCTGCCCATTTTTTAACTGGGTTATTTGTCTTTTTTGGTGTTGGGTTGCATGAGTTCTTTATAGAATGGATAGTAGCCCCTTACCAGATATATCATTTGCAAATACATTCTTCTGCACAGTAGATTGCCTTGTCATTTTCTTGATTTTTTTTCTTGCTATGAAGAAGCTTTTTACTTTGATGCAGTCCCACTTGTTTATTTTGCTCATTTCCCTTGCCCAGGGAGACATATCCAAAAAATAAATTACTAGTGCCAATGTTTACGAGATACCTGCCTATGTTTTTTTCTAAGAGTTTTACGGTTTAATGGCTTACACTTAGGTCTTTATTCTATTTTGAGTTTACTTTTGTGTTTGGTGTAAGGCAGTGATCTTCTACATGTAGTTGTCCAGTTTTCCCAACACCATTTATTGAAGACACTGTCTTTTCCCTGTTATATATTCTTGCCTCCTTTGTTTTATATTAATTGACCATGTAGGCATGGGTTTATTTCTGGACTCTATTCCATTGGTCTATGTATCTGTTCTTGTACCAGTACCATACAGTTTTAATCACTGTAGCTTTGTAGTATAGCTAGAAACTATGGAGCATGATATCTCCCAGCTTTGTTCATCTTTTCTCAGATTGCTTGGGCTATTCAGGGTTTCTGTGGTTCCATACAAATTTTAGAATTATTTGCTCTAGTTGAGTGAAAAATGCCAGTGATATTTTGATAAGGATTGCACTGAATCTATAGATTGCTTTGGGCAACATGGCCATTTTGACAAAATTAATTCTTCCTCTCCATGAGCATGGGATAGCTTTCCATTTATTTGTGTCATCTTTAGTTTCTTTCATCAGTGTCTTACAGTTTTCAAAGTATAGTCTTTCACCTCCTTGGTTAGGTTCATTCCTAGGTATGTTATTATTTTTCATGCAATTATAAATGAAATTGTTTCCTTCATTGCTATTTGTTAGTTTGTGATTAGTACATAGAAAAACAATGCATTTCTGTATACTGATTGTGTAACATGCAACTTTACTGAATTCATTTATTAGTTCTAATAGTTTTTTGGTGAGTCTTTAGGTTTTTCTATATATAGTATCAAGTCATCTGCAAATAGAGACAGTTTTACTTCTTCCTTACCAGTCTGGATGCATTTTATTTTTCTTGTCTGATTGCCATGGCTAGGACTTCCAGTACTATGTTGAATAAAAGTGGTGAAAGTGGGCATCCTTGTCTTGCTCCTGATCTTGGAGGAAAAGTGTTCAGCTTTTTGCCATTGACTATGATGTCAGTGGTGGGTTTGTCCTATATGGACTTTATTATGTTTAGATATGTTCCTGCTATACCCACCTTGGTGCAAGTTCTTATCATGAGTGGATGTTGAATTTTTCCAAATGCTTTTTCAGCATCTATAGAAATGATCATACAGATTTTATCCCTTTTGTTAATGCAGTGTATCACACTGATTGATTCCTGGATATTGATATTGAAGCATCCTTGCTTCCCTGGGATAAATCCCATATGGTCGTGCCTATTGATCTTTTTGATGTATTTTTGAATTCTGTTTGCTGACATTCTCTTGAGGATTTTGCATCTATGTTCATCAAGGATATTGGTCTGTAATTTTCTTTTTGTGGTGTCTTTGTCTGGAGTTGCTTTTGGAGTGATGCTGGCCTCATAGAAGGAGTTTAGAAGTATTCCCTCCTCTTCTAGTTTTTAGAACACTTTAAGAAGGATAGGTGTTAGCTCTTCTTTAAATGTTCAGTAGAGTTCACCCATGAAACCCTCTGGTCCTAGATTCTTGTTTCTTGGGAGTTGTTTGATTTCCAATTCAGTGTTAGTAGTAGTAGGTCTGTTCAGATTTTCTATTTCTTCCTGCATCACTCTTGATAGATTTTGTGTTTTTAGGAATTTATCCATTTCTTCAAAGTTGTCCCATTTGTTGCTGTACAATTTTTGTAATACTCTCTTATAGTCCATTTGCATTCTGTGGCATCAGTTGTATCTTCTCTTTCATTTCTAATTTTGAGTCCCCCTGTATTTCTTGAGTCTAGCAATAGGTTGCTTCATTTTGTTTATCTTTTCAAAGAAACTGCTCTTATTTTTATTGATCCTCTGTGTTATTTTTTTAGTCTCTATTTCATTTATTTCTGCTCTCATCTTTATTATTTTCTGCCTTCAACTAACTTTGGGCTTTATTTGTTCTTTTTCTACTTCATTTGGGTTTAGGGTTAGTTATTTGAGGTAATTGTTTCTTGAGGTAGGCCTGTAACACTATAAACTTCCTTCTCAGAACTGCTTTTGTTGCATTCCAAAAATTTTGCACTGTTGTGTTTCTATTTTCATTATTCTTCAAGTATTTTTATATTTCCTTTTTTCTTTCTTTATTGACATGTTGGTTGCTTAGTATCATTCTGTTTTGCCTCCATGTATTTGTGGATTTTTCACTTTTTTCCTGGAATTGATTTCCAGTTTCATACTGGAAATATGTGCTTGGAAAAGATGCTTAGTATGATTTCAGTCTTCCTATTTATTAAGACTTGTTTTGTGGCCTAACATGTAGTCTATCCTGGAGAGTGTTCCATATACAGTAGAAATAGATTGCATATTTTAATGTTCCACATATATGTTAGATGCATTTGGTCTGTTGTGTCATTCAAAATCCCTGTTTCTTTACTGATTTTCTGTCTGGATGATGTCCGTTGTTGTAATGGTGAGGGTGGTGCAGTGTTAAAGTCCTCTTCTACTATTGTATTACTCTCAATTTCTCCCTCCATGTCTGTTTAAGTATTTGCTCTAAGTATTTAGTTGCCACTCTGTTTCATAGCTATTTACAATTTTATAGTTTCTTGCTGTATTGAGCTGTTAGTCATTATATAATGCCGTTCTTGTCTCATTACAGTCTTTCTTTTAAAGACATTTTGTTTGATGTAAGTACTGCAACTCCAGCTTTTTGGGTTTTGTTTTGTTTTTCATTTTTATTTGCATGGAATATCTTTTCCCATCCCTTCAGTTTCAGTCTGTGTATATCTCTAGGTCTGAAGTGAGTCTCTCACATGCAGCTTATGGACAGGTCTTTTTTTTTTGTCCATTCAGTCATGCGGTGTCTTTTGATTGCAGCAGTTAGTCCATTTACATTTAATTACTGATAGGTATGTCCATATTGCCACTTTGTTAAAACTTTGTCATTTTCCAGTCTTTTCTTCTCTTGCTCTCTTCCCTTGTGCATAATGACTTTTTTTAGTGTTATGGTTGGATTCCTTTCTTGCATCTACTACAAGTTTTTGGTTTGTGATTACCATGTAGCTTATATATGATGTCTTAAATATGCAGCAGTGTATGTTACATTGTAGTCATTTATGTTCAAACACATTCAAACAATATTACGTTCTTAACTCCCCTT